TGAAACTATAAAAAGCCTAAAATGCCAAATGAAAGTGTCTTCATTTTCCATCCACATCTGTGATCAGATATCAGACTTACTGAGAAATACTGCTCAGCCTCTAACTGGTCTTGTAACTCCTTCATTTGTCCATCTGTGTCCTGTCTTTCTCTGTGAAAAGAGAAATGAGTCGATGATTCATAATCTGACCGCGTAAGGAGCTTGCAGTGTGCCTGCTGGGAAAGTGTTACAACAAAATGAAACTTACTTGCGCAGCTCCTGGTTCTGCTTCTCCAAGCTGCGCTTAATATCCAGCAGGTGATTCGTTTCCTGCTTGAGCTGCTTCTCGGAGGTTTTCAGAGCACTGAGCTGCTGGTTTTGAGCCTTCAGGTCGTTCTGAGTCAGGTTACGCTTCTGGGTCTCCTGCTCGATCTTCAGTGTCAGGTTCTTCACCTGAAAGAACAAAATGAATTTATTAAAAGTTTTTTACTCGCATTTCATTATCCTTCTATCCAATTTCAGATATGACACTCTTTACATTAGCTGCTGAAGTAGCTCCTGTTGGTGACATTTGACAGCTAACCCCAAACTTCACGGGTCTCCTGTGCAGAACAGAAACGCTCACCTCCTCAGTAAGGTGATCCTTGTGTCTGCGCAGCTCGTCTAGCTTCTGCAGGGCCTGTTTGTTGTCACAGTCCATCATGCTGCTCTGCTTCTCCATCTCCAGTATTCTGTTCTCCAGCCGCAGCTTGGCAGCTCGCTCCTCTGCCAGCTTCTGCTCCAACTCTGAATGAGAGTTATTCACTTATATTATTTAATTTCCCTTGTGAAAAGTTAAATCAATAAAATTTCTCATTCTGTACATCTTGTTGCAATCTGCGAACTCGGAGCTGTCGATCAGCCCCAAATTATATAGCTCGAACCCTGAACTCGGTACAAACTTTGAAAGAACAACCTCGTGGAAACAAAAGATCAGAGCCCTTACCCTTCATGGACTCTGACTTGGCGCCCTCGATGGTGACCTTGATCTTGCTCTTGTCTGCCAGCATTGCTCTGGTGGCCTTATGAGAGGCCTCCTCCTGTTCCAGCTCCTGCTGCAGCACCTTCAGCTTGTAGGTCAAATCGATCTCTTTGTTGCTCTTCTCCTGCATAAACACACACAGAGATGTCACATCCAGAGCAAAATCTAGTCAGAAAACTTTACACCAAACGCTTTGAGACCAAGCCCAGAAAGTCGTGTCACTACATGGTGGTTCACATTTATATGTATATTCTAAGGAAGTGCAGTTAGAAATACTCAGTAAATCAATAAGTACAGTTTCTGAAACAGGTCAGTTACAGTGCTGCAATAAATTAGGCCTTTCTTCTCCATTTCTCTAAGATATTTTAAAGTCAAAAAGCAGGCAGTTATGCATTTTTAATATGAATCTATGAAAACAAAACAAAGCAAATCCTTTGTATTAATCTTCCCGTGTCGACTGGAGTTGTGATTAAAGGTTTGGCAGTCTTTTAAAATAATTATTTGGCCTGCAGTGGGCTTGAGTTTAAAAATAGCTGCTGTAAATCAATTATTTGTCACTTTAATCAAAACAAAAGACTTTCCCGATTGCTTTAATAAAATAATAATTTCTCACTGGTGTCAAATGACCTGGAACAAACAGTCCAATGATGCTGTCCTCAAATCCAGATGCAGATGTTTCCAAGAAACACTATGATACTACTTTTAACATAACTTTTACTTAATTTGGATCACACATGAGGCTCAAGTCAAATTTCCAGGAACTGCATCTCAAAGCAAAAAATGTTTCCGGTCAGGATTTTGTGATTTACCTTCTCCAGATCAGTGAGTTTCTCTTGAAGCTGCCTCTTCTCAGTCTCAGCTTTGGATAAAGCCTGTTTCTGCTGACGGGCCTCCACTTCCAGGCCAGAAATGCGTCCTGCAAGATAAGCCCGCGATGAGTCCTCAGAGTTACATTTCACGTACAGATCACATAAAGCTTAACCCAACAGCAAACTATGGCAAATGGTAAATGGCCTGTATTTGTATAGCGCTTTACTTGGTCCCTAAGGACCCCAAAGCCTATAAACTTACACAGTCGTCAAGAATCTTTATTTCCGTTTTCAATACATTATTCCTGTCTCAACTTGTATACATAAGTCCTTTAATCCTTCTTAACGTCAATTTTATCCCCTCATTAAAGCTCAGTCTGAGGTTCGTCTGCTGTTTCTATTGTAATTTCGATTTTAGTTACTATTATTTTATTATTTGTCCTTTAATTTGTGTATTTATTTTCATGTTTTGACTTTCTAATTTAGGTCCGGTTTGTTTATTCCAGGTTTACTTGTAAACTAGCATTGTTAATCCCCTGACCTCAACTAAAAAGCACTCCCTCTGATTTAAATGTACTTTACATATACAAGTTACTTGCCTGTTGTTCATATAATGACTCAGTCAGCAAGCTCGGGGAAGTTCAAGGCAACTAAACATACACTCTTGTATGTTTAGTTGTTCCAACAGTGCCACAATGGGCTTATTTATACACACATATACATCCCAGTTACTTGTAGTAAGCAATGGAGGGCAATATTTATATTAATATAAATATTTACATAGTTCAAATGAATTTCAGCTCTTGGACCAACTCGAGGAAGCAGCTTATTATACTGTGCTGTGTTTTATTTGTAAATGCAACACTCAAGTCACTGCATCCGAAGACCTGCAAACATTCATAAGGCAGAACTCATGGTTTGTGATGCCCACGTCCTAATTAACGCAGTCAGATAAGAGGTTTTATGTGACAGCTTAAGTAGCCGGAGAGCTGCTTTTATCAGATTATGGGTGAATTGTTAGCCTTTATGTAAGCACGCTCCCTACACTTACACAAATATTACAAACTGTCCAGGTGCACTGGAGCAAACAGGCCGCTTTGACCCTTCTGTCTCCAAAACATCAGCTATATTTGTTCAAGGTTTTATCTGACACCTCTGGACAAACTTATTTTTACTAATTCAAATCAGCCTTTTCTTAAACACACACAGTGTGACTGAACTGGAGTCAGAATCCATTCAGCAAACAGTACAGAGTTGTTTAGTCCTGAAAAGCCTCTTGACTGCCCTCAGCATTTGGGTGGCACATTGCTATTGCTCATCTAGCTGCCCCTTTATTAAACCTGCCATATAAGCTCCAAGGCAAGCAGGAGGAAAACAGAGACTGAACTTCTTTCAGAGGAATGTAATTACATTTCCACCTCATAAAAATACAGGTAAACATATCAGCAGCTACAGATGTGCCTAGAATTATGACTTATACTGACATCCAACCTGAAATTCTGCACAAATCTATTGTTTTGGTTTTGTTGTATGCTAAGGTGAGAACCAAGAACAGAGGTGCAGTTTCTTTTTCTGATAGCGAGACGAATTTTATCAAATTAGGTGGAGCATGAGCGAAAAACTAATACAAGACATTTTGGTGCTCCATGTAAAACTGCTAAACTGAGGATGCTCCAACTCCATATTAATTGGTTTAGGATTTCTGTAATATACTTACATATCTATATTATTGCTAATATATATTGTAATATATCTAAATCATGGCTAAAGCACTTCTGGATGGATGCAAACTGCATTTCGTTGCCCTGCACCTGTGCATGTGCAAGGACAATAAAGTTGAATTCTATTCTATTCTATTAGTATTTCATAGGTTTGTAAAGAAGTGCGTTTCACTTTTTACAAACACCATTCTGAAAAAGTTGTTTAGATACACCGATGAATACAACATTTAATATACAACATGTTATATTCCTGGTATCACTTTTATTAATTCAAATAATGCACATAAATGACAACTGTTTGCAGACTTGACAAAGAAATCTTCGTGTGCCGTTTCACCCACCCATCAGGTCAGTGATGGTTTCCGAGCCCTGGCTGTGCTCCCTCCTCTCCGTCTCTAGCGCAGCCTGCAGGCTGATGCATTCCTTCTCCAGACTCAGCTTGCTGCGCTCCAGCAGGCAGCATTTGTCCTGCAGCTCGCGCACGTTGGCCTCCAGCTGCTGCAGCTGCTTGCTGCTCTCAGTTTGGGCTTTGCGGAGCCTCGTCGCCGCCTCCGTCTCGGCCCGCAACAACGTGTTGGCTTCTTCCAGCTAAGAGAAGAACACGTACACAAATCACACCAATATTTTCCCTTTAAAGGACTCGGAGTCCAAGAAGGTGACTTGACAAGATCACAGTGATCTTTTCAGTCTGGCTGGACATCAAATATTAGCTTTTACTTTCAGCTGTTGTGACTGTTATTATTATGTATTTGGTTTTACGTCTATTCAAGGCTTTATATGTTATATGCTTGTAATCTGATGTCACAGAGCTCATCGTCCATGCTGACCATCCCCCCCAACCTCACCAAACATACATCACGGTAGGTAACCGACCTGTTTCTGGAGGTGAATGTTCTTCTCATTGGAAATGTGTGAGTTTTGGTTTCGCTTCTTCATGTCATCCAGCTGGTCTCTGAGGCTGTTGACTGCACAGATCCCAAGAACAAAGACAACAATTATTATGATGAAGTGTGTTTCAAGAAGTAAAATCACAATTTAAAACTGATAAAGTTTATTTAAATGCACCAAGTTCTTCATATATAAACTGTGCAAATGAAATATGGAAACAGTTTAGTTTGGTTTAATAAAGGCTAAAGTTATACAATATGAATATTACAAAGAAAGCCAGAGCACAGAAGAGAGTAGACCTGATGTGTTTGCATCACAGTGTCTTTGTCCAGGTGATGGCAGTATTACCCACTTTATCTCAGTAAAGTCACCATGATTTTATATCATTGCAAAGCCAAAAGAAAACGTAAGAAGTTTCTGACTTTACACAAGAAGCGGGGGGTTGATTTTTACTGGATTCCTGTGTTCATTTTATTCTCTTGCTTTAATGTATCACTGCTGTCAAGTTTGAATCTATTTCTTAAAACAAATGCATTTAATCAGCCTCATTTTTCTCACTCATGATAGAAGTATTATAATGTTTTGTCTTTTCAGTTCATGTAATCGATCACCTTAAACAAAGCTAACCTGCATGAAGGATGTTACACAAATAAACCGAGAATGTGTGCCGCTGTATTTTTTTTTTTTAACTTAAAAGCTAGTTAAAAAGCTTTAAAAATTGTCTCTTAAGAGAAACGTCTCTTAGTAGAAAATACATTGCATTTTTCTGTGAAATGTAATAATTTCCAGTTGATAACTTCCTGTACAAAAGAAGTAAATCTTTTCAGCTCTGCTGCAGAATCCACAGTGTGTCTCGTGTCACCTTCGTTCTCCAGACAGCGCTTCCTGTCGGCCTCGCTCTCAGCCTTGCGGTGGCTCTCCAGGCTTTTGTGCTGCAGCAGAGCCTTCTCCCTCTCCAGCTGCCTCAGACTCGACTCCAGGTTCTTTCTGCTGCTCACCTAAAAATCAATCATAAACGCCTTTGTTCAACATCTCCTGCGGGGATGGTTTCATGCTACTGTGATTCCATAATTCACTTTATGAGAAATTATTCCCCAGAATCCAAATGGGCCTCAACACAAATTCAATCACAATAGACTATTTAATGTGGCCGTTAGAATTCAGCAGGCGCTCCAACTGAACCTCCCTGGATACGAGACGCTGGTATTCAACCGGAAAGTGGACAAGTGTGGATAATAAGAATCATTATTCTGGCTCAAATAATAGAGTTTTTGGGAAACGCCCATTAAATTGTATGAGGAAGAAAGAACTTCTAAAATCCCAGAGGGGTCATGTCCCCGCAGATATTGACGCCGGACAGACACAGAAATATTCAGGTAATTGGATGTTCCCTGTGATTAACTGACCTCTTCCTCAAGTTCTTTGGAGAGTTTTTCCAGACGAGCGGTGGCGGCCCTGCAGAAAAATACAGATGCTTAAAAAAAATAATTTGGCCACCGTGCATAAGCAAGTAAGTGGAGCAACATGATGCGGCTCTTATTCCTGATACACAATGTTCCCTACAGATCACCCACCTGTATTTTTGCTCTAGATCATCTTTGACTTGCTTGTCATTATTCATCTGCATCTCTAGGTGGCGAAGTTTCTTCTGCAGTGCTGCTGACTAAGAAGAGAAAGAAAGAAAGACTTCCAATTTATGCGCTATACACTAAAGTCACAATTTAACACACACAGGGTAAGAAGACATGTAACATCAATAGCTAGCTAGACTTTGCAGTGACACGCACACTGTGTGAGCACTGGCAGAACGCCTGATGTTTCTTTATAGGAACTATCGGACTTTATAGGGCCGATAATTAAAAAAATGAAAAAGTCAAGAAAAGACGACAGAAACGCCCTTCAACCATGTTTTGAATGTTGTTGTTGCAGTTTGTCCACCAGAGGGAGTCTGCAACTTCCAGTTTGATAACATGCCTGAAGCCCAAGGAACACACACACATAAACACACGCAATCAGCTGATCTGAGCCAAGCCAGGCACTGTAAACCAATTATATTTTTATAAAATGCATGTAATATTTTTGTAGGACTCGAGGAAATCTGTTTATTTTCTGCATTGAAATTTGCCAAATATCAGTAGCACTCTTAAAAATCCGGTTTTGGTTGGGATGTCACGTTAAATTTTAAGTTAGCTAACTAATGCTACCAAGGAAATGCAGACAAATGTTGTTGTCCTTGGTCAAAAGAGCACAGAAACTATTTTCATGGTTAATGGTGTAACGTTTTTAGGGGCAGTCTTTTAGGACTAAACATTTTTACAATTAGAAGTATCACAACAACCTTAAACCACCACATTAGTCACTTAAAGGTCAGTATTGAAATACAGGTTACTATACCTTTAATCACCTACATTTAGGCAACTGATTAGAAACAAAGCGAAAGTAAAACATAGGGTTTGTTTTGTTCCTCGTAATGAGGGCAGTCTTTTAGGACTGAAGTCAATAAAAGTTCTTCAGATTAGTGTTCGGCTCAGCCACTTATACTGAAAGCTGCTTAAATCTCTGTGTGCGGCTGAGAACACTGAAATTCTAACAAAGTACAAATAAATCATGGGATCTGGGAAGAAATCCCCCTGTGAGTCATTTCCATCATAATCCTTGATGTCTTACAATGTGAAGCTGATCACAATGTCAACAGGCCTTTTCTGTGTGGTCATGTAAACTGATACCAGACTTATTTATTTCCTGAGGAGCTCGGTCCGGTATTAATGCAGTCGCTAAAGGTGCACCTGGCAGCTACTGTGTGTGGGAGTCAAAGTACTTACCTCCCCTTTTGAATTCTCATGAGCCACTGAGTTGTTGGAAGCATTTAATAACCTGAAGGAGGAAATGAATAAAATCAGCCCAAGGTCAAGGACACTAGAGCCAAAAATAAATCTATAAATTGTCTTCGTGGAACCACGGAGGTCCCTAAAATCATGGGAAATGAAGAGAATGGGATGATTTACTGGTCTTCTTTGAAGTAGGTGAAGCCAACAAAGGGTAACTGATTGCCGACAAATGCCTTAGGTGTGGGGAAGGTTTCTACATCGCCTTTGTCGTCTTCTATCTCATCAAAGTTGCTGGTGTCTATGTCACTGCTCAGCTCTGGGACCACAGGGGCAACCGCTGGGGCGAGAGAGAGATAAAGAGAGAGACAGGAAAAGGTGAGAGTGAATTGGTGGAAAAAGGAAGCACTGTGTGAAAATATGTCAGTCCAATAAATCATTTTAATGTGCTCTCTGATTCAGCTGCTGTTCTGAAGGAATTCCTGCTAAAGTTTTAGATTAAAGAAGATCAAGATTAAAGAAAAGGTTTGCAGGTGCTGTTATGCTGAATTATATTTCATTTAAATTTAATTTTAATATTTTTTTAATGTTGTTTGATTGATAAAAACTGTGAGTTGAGGGTGTGACCGTTTTTGGCTTCTGAAGTAGAGCATGCCAGAAAGAAATTGGAGTACATCTGATAAAATTTAAGACGTCTCACAGGACAACAACAGCAACAAAAAAATTACTGATCTGCAGGAGCTGCGTTCTATATTTGGTCACAAATTCTGACTTTCTCCTGAATTACACTTAGGAATTATAATTTTGTATGCTTGATGCATTTATGGCAGGTATGGCCAAAGAAAGACAGCATCTGCTGTGCCCAAAAAGGATATCCACAAGGTAAACAACTCAGAGGTGTTACTCTGCACACAGAGTAAAGTGGAAGGAAAGGTGAAATTTGATTTTAGATGTAGGAGAACAAACAAAAGCATTGTGCAGAATTTAAATGTAATGGTTTTTGAAATTGTTTTGCAAAGTGCACGATGGGCTTTGCTGGAAGCTGAGCACTCATCTACAGTATATTCTACGTTCATTTCTACTGTTCTTCAATTTAGTAGTGGAAAATCCACTTGCTCTTATTTTGAAAGTTCAGTCGCTGTTAACCATCTAGCCTCTCACTTCCCAACGGCCGGCACGCTGGCCAGTTCATTGTCATGGCAGCCCTTGATGTAATTAAGCTGCTTTTTCTTGCAGACAGACAGACTCAAACTCAACAGTCTTGGACTTGCTGCTGGGGACAGCAGTCCTCCTGCTCTGGACATCTGCAGCAAGCCAGAACCTGCAGGAAGTGGAGGTCTAGTTCTGCTCTGTACAAGTACTTTGCAAATAAAAATACCTATGTGATCTGCGCATGCACTTACCCAACCACCAAACACATGGTGCTAAATGAAATACACTTCATATTGAGAAAAAACCAAAACATGTATTATAATGAATGATCATAGGTAGCAGAACAAAGGTTGTATACTAACTGTCTCTGATGGTGTCAAAGGTCCACTGGTCATTTTTGAAGAAAGGATGTCGCTTGATTTCCTCCACGCCGTTTCTGCCTAATCGCACCTCCCTCAAAACAAAAGCAGACAATGAGTTGATTGAATTGGACCTTTGTCCTCATACAAACCTTTATAACCTTAAATATTAAGAGACAAACACACAGATAAGCGTAAGTGTGCTGTTGTATCAACATATTATGTAATCTCTAAGTATTGCCACACAAAAAAAGAAACCTTGTGCTTACGTCTGGGACCAGCATGAAGAAACTACAGCTTAGATATATATATGAAAAACATCCCCATGAAAGACAAAGTGGTTTGTGGGTTGACAGACAGATGGAGATGGACAGTTGTGTATAAGAGGAAGAGTTTGAGAGATAACATACGATAACATAAGAGTGCTATTGTGCTAAGAGTGCTACTGTTACTCTTTGCAAGAAAATACACAGGTGCATTTTTCCAAAATGTTAAACCCCCTGACATCTTCTTCTAGTAAGATCATACCTGTCAGTCAGGAAGGCGCAGATGATATTCTTGGCATTGTTGGAGATCTCCACATCATCTGGAAAATTGAGGGAGTTCTTGTGGTCCATGATTTTACTGTACGTTCCCACCAAAGAGTCGGCGTAGAACGGCGTGTCACCTAAAAGTGAGCAAGCAACACTGAAATAAATTGAGAGACATAAACATCAACGCATACGAGTTAAATTATTTTATGAAATGTTCACCGACCGACGAGCAACTCGTAAATGAAGACCCCTACGGACCACCAGTCACATTCTCTCCCATAATAGCCATCACCTCCCTGGGATTTTAGCACTTCTGGCGAGATGTAGTCTGGAGTCCCAACAGCTGTGTCACAGTGCACCATGCCGGTCTGTAACATAAATCCAGAGATCATTATATGTTTAGTATCCTACAGGTATGGTTTGATTTATATGGGCATAAGCTAAAGCAGAGTGTTGATCCAAACTTAAGAGACTACTAAAAACTAACCCTTCCAGGTGAAAGCAGAACCAGAGCTCACTGTAACAACTTAGTTATTAAAGTGGACTTGTAGGGCTGGGCTATATCATACCGTTCACGGTAATACCGGTGTAATTTTGGGCAACGATAGGAAAATGAAATATCGCGATAGAATATGGGTAAAACGCGCATGTGCACTGCCTATGTTTACATACGCACATGGCAGCGACGCAGAATGAGAAGAGCGAAAGCGGATCGTTAAATGAAACGGATGAACCAGAACTGGTTTGTTAAAATGCTGCAACTTCAGTGGTGTGGAACTGGTTTTGCTTTCGTCCGTCAGATACACAACAAAGGTAGAGCATGCTAGCGGGCCGTCGTTATTACCGTGTTGTTTGGAAAATGCGGCACACTTAAAATCAATCCTTTGATTTTTCTGAAAATCGACAGTGCCCCTTATAATCCAGTGTGCCTTATGTATGAACTCTAGTTGTGTTTACTGACCTCGAAACGATTTTATGTACATGGCGCTCGAAAATCTGTCAGATGTTTCAGTACGACTTTGCTAAGCTACGAAGCCGCACCGCTTGATGGATTGTCGGAGCATTACGGCTCCGACAGTACGTATCACTTCGCGGAGTGATACGTACTGTGCTTCAACATAATATTACCGTATTGTGTGTGTATAACCTCTTTTTAAGTTTTGTGGATATTATACATGGTTATGCTGAGGATATGTCGACCAGTTTCCACTGGAAATGCCTTTTGGTTAAACTGTCAGCAAGGAATTTGCACTGTTACATTTTTATGTAACTTTAATGCACATAAAAAAACAGCTGCTTGTTTAAGTGAAAATACAATGATGGGGTTTTTTCCACTAATAAAGTTGTGGAGTTGTAAAGTATTTTGTCTAGTGTCAATTATATCGTCAGTTATATTGTTATCGCAAATTTTCAAATGTATATCGTGATAAATATTTTTGGTCATATCACCCTGCCCTATGGACTTGTTATATTTTTATTCTTGGACTACACTAGAGTAGCTAAATCAAGCCATTTTAACCCCTTCCCCTCTCTCTTTAAGGCAACTTTCTTCAGCCAAAGAAACAGTTTGGACAGCAGGGGGTCCCTGAGATGATCACATAAAAATATTGTTTTTCACAGACATCATAGAGAGCAAAGAGAAGGAAAAAAACTGCTGAAGCTAAACATTTATAGCAATCCAAAGTCTGAGGTTTAGCTTTATTTCTTCTCTTTGGATTTTTTTATTAGTGTTTAGCAGTGTTTTCTGCTGGCAGCAGAGACTCAGGTTTTACACTTTTACTCACCGAGTCCATTTTCATGCAAGTGCCAAAGTCAGCCAGCTTCAGGTGTCCGAGTCTGTCCAGCAGCATGTTGTCTGGCTTCACGTCGCGGTGAATGAAGCCCATGGAGTGAATGGCGTCCAGGGCCATCACCACCTCCGCTGTGTAGAACTTGGCCCACTTCTCCGGTACATCATAGGTGCTGGTGAGGTTAACCAGGTCGCCTCCTGGCATGTACTCCATCACCATGTAGAGGTAGTGGTCATCTTGGAAGGCAGAGCACAACTAAAAACAATTTTGAGGTTTAATAAATTAACATATAAAACACATACTTTCTTTGTTCGAAGTAAAACAAAGGAGTAATCCAACTGGCAAACACGTTCCCAGTGAATATTCCAATTAATGCACACGAAAGCTTTTTAAAAGCTGATCAGCAACTTAAATGCTGTACCTGCACAACCCAGGGACTGTTGGAAAAAGCCATGATATCTCTCTCTTCCCAGAAGAATGCTGAGTCTGAGCGCTTTATCATCTCAAATTTGCTGAGCAGCTTCATGGCGTAGACCTTCTGTGAGGCTTTATGTCTGACCTGAACAACAGGAAGATAAAGTTTAGAGATTCTCCAAAGTCTAATCTTACTCTATGAGAAATGTTTGATGAAATGTACAAGAACAGATAAAATTACAATCACAACAGATAATTCGTGAGTACATGTGCCACTTTCAGATTACAATACAATTAATGTAGATTTTTTTTATTCCCAGAGTGCATGCTTAGTTGTGGTTTGTAGAGTTTTCAAAGGTAAAATGGGGCAGAGGCCTCAAGTATCAGGTTTCTCTTGTGGAACCGGCTCAATGTGTGAGTTCAGGATACAGGCATGCCCTCTACTTTAAAGACTCAGCTTTCCTTTTTGATAAAGCTTATGTGTAGGGCTGCATCATGTGACCCTGAAACATCCTTTGGTTATGCTGATATAGGCTCAAGCTGTAGAGGGAACCCATTGCCTCTCCGTGTATTCATATGACACCACTACAGAACATAATTTGTGTTTTTGGTTGTTGGTTCTAAGTGTTCATCTTTTCATCGTCCACTCTCCCTTCAGCATAAGCAGCTGAGGTAGATGACTGGTTTACGGTGTCAGTTTGCACAGCAAACTTCGTCATGCAGAGAAAAGGATTATGGAAATGAACAGGCATTTAAAAAGCTCTTTTCTGATCTTACTAACCACTCAAAGTCTTTTAGAATACAAGCCACAATTAACCGCACATTCATGCACTTCGAGCACTTGTATCTGCCTCACATCCATAGCCGATGTAGAATCACAAATAAACATAACATGTACTTCTTTGGACTGTGGGAGGAAGCCAGGGTACTTGAGGTAATAGGCTAAGGGAGAACATTCAAACTCCACACAGAACTATTCAACTATGCAGGAGATTCAAACCATGAACCTTCATGCTGTGAGGTAACAGTGCTAACCATGACTGTGGCAATACTTTTGACATGCACTTCTCCAAAAAGTTAGAATCGTTTTGATGGTATGATGGATCCTTGATGGAGGACTATACCACTTGTTTTTTTTTTTTATAGTTGCTTTTACAAAGCAACTATAAAAACAAAAACAGTGTTACCTGTTCATATGATCAGCACTTACCAGTTGCACTTCACCAAATGCTCCTCGGCCAATCACTTTAACTCTGTCAAAGTCTTCAGACTTCATCTGCAGATCTCGAATCTGGCCAATGACTTTCTCATCTGAAGCAAAAGTTTATTGACAGGACAGAGGAAATGAACGTGCATTAGTGTTGTAAATACAAAGCAATTATTTAAGTGAACATCCTCTATATATTTATCCATCCATTTTCTACTGCTTATCCAGGTAATGTTCCAACAATCTAAGCTGAGATGCTCAGACTTCCCAGAAGACATATATAGCCATGGTTTTATCACCCATTGATTCACATGATAATGACTGATCCATAAGATGATAGACCCTGTGAAGTATATCCAGTTTTACTATTCTCTGTCTAACGAGTTTCATAGACAATAGTACTCTAATGAGTACTAGAATTTACAAAATGAACATAATCTTATGTTAAATAACTTTTGAAAGTAGCAATCAAGAACAAACTCATTAGGAAGGCATTTATTGATTAATACAGCAAAGAGGCAGCATTTTATACCAAACCTTTTATATAAAGTGATGATTTGACTGGTTTTGATAATCAGCCTTTTCTGAATAATTGAGCTGTTCACCTTCTAGATAATCATCTCTCATTAAGCTACTCACATCTGTTTAAGAAGGTCTCAATGTTTTTGTTCTTTCGTAGTGCAGGGTAGCCCAAGTCTAAGACCAGCGCGTTCATGGAGTCCTGCAAAGAAAGAGAAAAAAAAACCCAAAACATTAATAATAAGCTCTAAGATATATATATAAAAACCTCCACAACACAGTGGAAATGCTTTGCAGGAAGGTGTTATGAAACCACAATGACACTGCACTGTTAAATAAATCAAAATCAACAAATGTACAGCAAAGGCACTAATGTGCTTTGAAGCAGTTCGAGGGGGTCACATGATTATCTAGAGGATTAACAATGGTTTTCAGGATACGGTGGCATGCTGTCTGTCCTTCCTCCTCTCAGCAACAGCATTTTCAAACTTGTCACATCTATGGAAACATTAGTCACAGTGCTGTTGCAAAACAAATCAAGCCATCATAAACGGCGCGTGGATGGTAAAAGGCTGCGTCACACAGCAAGTCACTGTGTTTTTGCATGAAATGAGACAAGTAGTCATGAGCTGCCAGGAAGTCTGTTGTTTGCATCAGCACTGATTTTTCACACATGATGCAGATGATGTGACGTGTGAGCTTTCACAGATTAGCTGTCAAAACAAAAAGTGCATTCAAAATTTCCATAATTTGCCATTTACCAGTTTTTTTTCTCTTTTTCTTACTGAGATAGAAGTCATTTGGCTGCACTTATTTTAAGGAAGTATGAACTATAAAAGAAATGTGTCATAATCAGTCAATACCAGCTTATTTTTATCCTCTTATCATCACGACACAGCCACTGGTAACGAATTCATCCGAACGATGAACCATAAAACACATTAAAAATATGAAATCTAGTTTCAAAATTAAAAAATAAAAATGTATCTAATGTAGGGGAGATCATAAATTCATGAGGGAATCTGGACCTGAGCAATTTAAACAAACAAACAAACAAAAAATCTTTTGTTTTGTTTATTTGGTGCTTTAAATTTCTACTTCCTTAGCAATAATATGCTTTTTTGGGTGCATTATGAAATGATAAATTGTTATTATTGCCTAACTGCTTTTGCACACATGTATCAAATTAAAAGTAACCCACACTGATAGTAAATAGAAAATATTCATCAGCAATAGCTTTAAAAATGATTTTTTTTTTCCCCTGCAAGCCAAAAGCCAACTCTATTTTTGATTGTTTTGGATTTTGAATCTAAATTTGTGACAGAGAGATGCTACAATGCATCTGAGTTTGTGTGTAAATAACACACATTTAAACAATAGGAGCATAAAAACAACCAAAATAAGAATGAGTAATGTAAAAATAAATAAATAAATAAATAAATAAAGGTAGAAAAAAACTAAAAGGAATATATTATATTACAGCATAAAGGTCAGCAGTTCTTTCATCCATTGTCCATTATACTTAAAAAAGACCTTATGAGTCACATCTGTGGGCAGATTACTCCAGAGATTTGTTCCATAAAAAAAAGAAAAAGAAAAAAAGCATATGTAAATATAGTGAGCAGAGTTAAACAAACAAATGAATAAAAATAAGATAATAAAAATAAGTCCACAGTCTCAAAGTTGGATGTCCATTTTCCCAATGTTTTCTGATTTTTATTGTTTGAAATTCTCAGAGGAGGGCATTTGTTCCACTCCACATATTTCCTGAATAATTTTTGACCTTTCAAAGACTTAACAAAGAATATCCAAAAACAACAATTTTCTTGGTCAATGGACTTTTTATTTGTTTGTTTAACAAACGGCACAGATAATAACTGAACTTGACACTGCAGGATAGTTCACATGTTCTCTGATGACTACTAATTAACAACTTTTTAAATTTCTGAAAAGAAACTCCTTCGCCTTCAAAGGCGTTAAAAGATCACACCCAGGTTCTTCGGAAAGGGTTTTAAGGAGATCCATATTAGTATCTTTCAGACCATCCAGTAAGCCCTTTAGAGAAGTCATGGTTTTGTTTCCCAGCAGCACATTAATCTGAAAACCATTTGTACAGCATTTACTAAACCTAAGGGAGCAAAACCAAAAGGCTAGGCTGAGAGGGGACCTCAGAGGGACCTCACATGACCTAAATAAGCAGCTAATGAGCATCCATCCTATTTGGAAAGCTTCTAAAAATAAATAAATAATTTTTTTTTTTTTTCAAGCATCTTCCATTCCAATAAAGGCGACATGCTAACTTAAAGCAAATCCAAATTCAACATTACAGACCACTGACCGCGTTTCTAAGGACAGTTTATGTTCTGTCTATTTTCTCACCACTGCACAGAACGAAAACAGTTCCACATCAATGCAACCCAGCGAGTCTGAATGAAAAGGGCCAACTTCCCCTCAGCATTTCATTCAACACAACAGTGCTCAACTTGACTGACTGGATACACAAACACCAACTACATACAGAAGAAAATTGTTTTAACTGAAAGCTGTGTTCCTCGAGAGAGACAGACTGTGGAGCAGTGACTCGTTTTTCCATCAGCAGCTGCCTTCTTGATTCTCTGATATTCTTCTGATAAATGATGAACACGCCGTTTCTATAACCCTTGGAAAACAGGCGGTCCCAGAGATGACGTCACCTCCACATACATGCCACACAGTCATAGGGTCAGACCTGCATTTACCACACTCATAGTGCTGAACACCCTCATAGTATTTATTGGCATGTAATAATAATAATAATTTTATTTTTACAGCATGTAAATAGCATACAAAGTGCTTCACAACTTTTTGAAAATCCACACAAAGACACATCCCAACCTACAGTATATAAATTCTAGAGGTGGGAATCACCATACATCCCACGATACGATATTATCACAATACTTAACGCACGATACGATATTATTGCAATTTTTAAAAATATTTTTCAATATTCAGTCTGTACATAAAGGTAAACTTTATCAATATTCATTTTATCTAATATCAAAGTCTCGCACTCAGTCTTTCTCTCATTTCAGTTTTATTGTTGACAAACTGAACGGTTTGTATTACAGTCTAGTCCAACTTAACTGAACGCAACCATCTGGTACAATTATAGATATTCTAAATTATGCAATTTGTGAAAACTATGCAGCCCCTTCAGCAACTGAAGAATTTGAAAGTAAATTAAAACAAAATATAATTTTACATTAAATAAAAAAGTTTTAAACTTAATTCAAATAAAACATGTCTTAAATTAAAATAAGTAAACTGTCATGTTTATTGCTGCCATAAAACAAGTTAAACACATTTGGACAGTGAAGGAATGTCAGGATTCTTGCTCAGAAAAAGGATCAACATGCTCTGAAGTCAGAGCACAAAAACCTTTTTTGTAACAAAATATCGATTTCTGCTGTCCCTGTATCGATACATTATTAGCAAACAAAATATCACCATACTACACAGTATCGATTTTTTCCCCCACCCCTAATAAATTCATACCTGTTTACAGAGTCTCAGCGGTAATTAAAAAATTGACTACAATTTTAAATATATAGGGACCGTTTCCAATAGTTGGATAAAAGTCCTTAGCGGCCGATGACTTCCTTAAGTCTAGACTCCATGGACATAAGTGTTTGGATGTTCCGTCAGGCTGTCTTCAGTTGGTGTTCGTTTACGAGTATCTTTGCCTTCGGTTTTATGTTCATGTGCTCCTGGCTGAGAACAGGTGACTGACTTGGCCAATGAAGACTGTTTTGCAATGAGAAATTCTTTGGTTGTTTTTGCAATATACTTTGGTATATACACTGTCACAAACACTAGTAACTTTGCTTCCACCGTATCTGAGAGCTGATGTGGCATGCTTCTGTTCTCAAGTGGTTCCTTTCCTCCTAACTGCATGTTCTTATATGCATATTCTCTTGTTCATACTGGTTGGGACGAAGGCTGTGAGAATCTCAGAATAGTTGCTTCGAGAAAATTAGAGAGACTAATTTAAAGAGAGGTATATTCAATGACTGAGGCCATTAGGAAAGTATTTACCAATGTCATAAAGTTAGGGGGGCATGGGTTTGTCCCCCCCTCCAATAGGCTTCTATACAACCAAATTTCTGAGGAAATAGGAACAAGAGTCGTCGCCCTATGCTGGCACTACACGCCTATCTTGTGTGGCAGCTCTACCACTTACAGGTATTTGAGAAAGTGTGTGAACAGCTGAATAAAACAAACCCAACATTAGACACACTCATTCTTGTTCTTCCTCTGACACACACAGTCTGATTCATGGACATCCCCGAAAAATGTGTGGCAGGCAACAAACAAAGCAGCTGATGAGTATTTACCCCAAACTAAACAGTGGCCAGTACAATATTACTCACAGATGTATTTCAGTTATTCTTGTGACATCTGATTACCTTAAACAAAACAAAACAAATTCTGTTATGCGTGTTGTCCTGTTACATTCTTATTTTTCCCCGACAGGAAGAAAAGCTGGACACTGTACTGCAGTATCGCAGACATTTCATAAGTATGACCCAGGGCAATGCAGGGAAACCATTAAATAAGCAAAGGACGGACTGTTGCTAACCTCTAATCGTTACAGCGTGTAACAGTAAGGAAGTCATCTATCAACTTTTGTCAGCTATGCATTCCTCAACGGTCAATAAGGAGCAGTTCGTAACACTGGACCGAGCCAAATGAGAACATGAGAACGTGACGCAGTGCATACGCTGCATACTTGTCCCTTTCCTTTTTCTTTTCTTTTTCTTTCATTATTGCGCTGTTAGGCGTTGTGATACAATCAGTTTCATCACTTCCTTTCTAGTCTTCCCCACTTTTTTGTTCTGTAGCTTCTCAGACTTATCTGCCCGTCCTCCTTCTCTCTCCATCGTTCTCCGCTCGGATGAAATCGGCTTACGTCGAGTGAGCGGAGCACTCTGTTTCATCAACTCAACTTCCCCATTAAAGGACCGACCTCTCACAAAACTACTATTTAAGGGAAAAAAATACACACATGTGTGGGGGTGGAGAGGGTTTGCCGGGTGCGTGTTTGTGTGCGTGCATGTGCGTGTACATATACCTACATGCACACATGCGCGAGCATGGCAATACAGGAAATGATCCACCCCACCCCAGGGCTGGCAGATAATTTCACTGTGTCATGAAGCC